TGTCATTAGGACCTGGTCACTCGGTTCTCTGATCTTGGGCCCCGGTTCGAATTCAGCCCTCCTGTGGTACCATCATAGATCACTACTACCTCCAAACTTGGGACTTGCCAAATGGGTTTTCGGTTATTCTGGTTCCTCAGATTTATTGCACCAAAGCTCCCATAACTAGATGGTATGACCGAAATTACAGATTTCTAGATCCAACCGATAATCAACAACCGTAAACTGTAACACAGGCTATTTTTCAAAATTCGTCATCCGTGGGATTTGAACTCTAGACCTGCCACTGGAGAGGGTGATGACTAGACCACTACACTAAGTCGCCACACCTCTTTAGTTCTGGTTTTTGTATTTTTAATGGATTGGTAATAGTGATAGTATAATATATAGAGTTAATTTGTTATTTTGTGTTTATTTTTATTATATATGAGTAGTTTAGTTTGTTTATTTTGGCATCATTTATTTTATAAGTTTTGAATGTTGGTTTTATATGATGTAGTTTATTGTTGTTTTATTTATTAGTTAGTTTTTTTAGTATAAATAAAGGTTTTTTTATATTTTGTTGTTTTGTTATGTCTTGTCACAGAGATACAATCATGAAGATAAGTCAAGTTTGTCAAATATGCAATGATAATTTGAAATTGGTTGCTATATGGACTGTTGGAGTTTTTCCTGTTGAGAGTGATAATCATGAGTTAGATTTTTCTTTGTTTATTCCAATAGATGATGAAGAGAAAGATCCTAATTCTTAATCTATTTTCAAATTTAATGAGTAGTAAAGTTTTACTTGGGAAATTAAGATTGAAGGTTTGCATTTTTAGTTTTATTTATTATTAAATCGAATGTTTGTTGAATTTTTTTCAAAAAAATTTAGATGACTGTTGTATCATCAACTCACCTTACAATTAAAAGAAACTTTGGTTCAAATAGGTATCCATTAAAGGTTTTTCTTGTTGGTGTTGCTCAAGATGTACCAAAAGAGATTAATAGTGAAAGTGTGATAATTAGTACACTAGTTAATGATTATGCTAGACAAGTTTATAGTTTTACAACTAAAATTATTTTTTTATTTCATAATTCTCAGTTTAAACATTTAATAGTTTTTCTTGGTTAAATGAGTTTGTGCTTTTTGTAGTGGGGCAAATAGAAATTTTTGATATGGATTTATATGTTTATGCTGCTAATATTTCCTATTAGTTCTGTAGTAAAGAAGAAAGCTCCCGTTTTTGAAAATTCACCAGCTTTGTATAGGTTAGTTAGTTCATAACTTTTAACTGTATATAAGAGTATTAATGAAGGGTCATTTAATGTCTCTGAGACAAAGAATTCTGATATCAGTAAAGAAAAAAGCGAGTTTGAAGCCAGTTTGATTATTGAAGATTCTCATGCATCAAAATATACAAGGCTGGAAGATGAAAAAGATGATTGTGTTGAGTATGTTAAAGATGACAATAAAGATAAAAATAAAAATATTAATATGGATATTGAATTTAAAGGTATTACATCTTATGTTAGTAAGAGTTCTGAGTGTAGTTTTGAAGAGTCTTCCAAGTGCAAAGAAAAAGCATTTTAGTCTGTAGTTCATAATGCTAGACAATGTTCTGAATTATCTAAAAATAGTAGTAATAATGAAAAGGTTTAGAATCAAGAGGTTTTTTTTTTTAATAGATTTATTTTGATAGTTTAAATTTATATTTTTATATGGTTGCAAAAGTTTTTAAATTTATGTTTAAAGTATTATTTATAATATTTTTTAAAATTTATATTTTTTTTTTGTCTATTAAGTTGTAAATAAATTGTTATTTTTTTTTATAAAGTTATTCAGTTATAGTATTGTATATCTTTTGTAGTTTAATAATTGTCATAATTTAACTTTGGTGAATTTATTTGCTAGGGTATTGATTATATGGTATGGCAGAAATTTGTTATTATTGTTGTAAGTAGAGTTGGTTTTGTAAAGTATCTAGTCGTATTTGATTAGTAGCTTTGAGATGTTAATCTTAGTTTGATTTATTTCATACAAGTGAGTGTGTTTGTGCTATGATAGTATACAGTTGCGTATAAATTTTATAAATAATTTTTAAAAGATATATTTGTTTTGTTTAATAATGTTTTACTAATTTTTATAATTAGTTAATGGTAAGAAATGTTATGTTATATAAGCTAATTGGTTGTGAAAGATTTGATTTAGATAGTGAAAAATTACTGGATACAAGCATAATTAATTTTAAAGTGGGTTAATTTTAAGAGTATGAATTATAGTGTAATTACTATATACGATGTTTTTGTCAGTGGTAAAACAATAGACAGTAAATATTTTATAAATACGTGCAATATAGTAGTTATTAGTTAGGTATTTTGTGTCTAGATGGTATTTATACTGTGTTTTGTTAGAAGTGGAAGTATATCAATAACTCGTAGGATATAATATTAATTAATGATATTAGTGTATTTGCGTATAAAAATAAAAGAATGTTTTTTTTATTTATTCAGAGTTTTAGTAAAGTTTTTAATTAATTTTTATTATTCTGTATAATATTAAATTGAAGGCTATTTATCTAATTGTTTAGTTTTTTCATAACATTTTTCAAGACAAGTGAGTTTTTTTATAAGGTCTGGGTCTCATAGGCAGACATTCGTATGATTGGCAGTTTAAATCAAATTAATTTTACATTATTTATACAGTTTAAAGTACT